CTCCCTCCAGCTATGGGTAAATAGCAGGACAGACTGAGTTCTATAGCCTTAGATGGCAACTGGTCTAGGAGAAGGAAAACTCTGAATTCAAAACCTGCGGAGGGTCGTTTGGTGACTCTGTGGCACGTAGTGCACCATGTCTCTGTATTCGGTCCTATAATCAAATCTCATGTGCTGTTGTCGGGCTGTCGGTTTCCTGGGAACTGATCTGCTTGACCCTCATGCGTCGAATTCGACGGGAGAGAGTCGAGAAAGAGAGCGAGTGTATATATTTATTAAAGACATTTTTATGTTTAACGTTCTTTTTTTTTATAGATACAAGTATTTAAGTAAATGCTCTGTTTATAATAAACAGTATTAAATAACATTATATTATTTACGATGTTTTTATGCCAATTTTCTGATGAAAATATTGACATGATGTGGTAGAAATTGAAAAATATATTTAAAATGAAATTAAGCTGTTCATCTCTGAAAGTCATAAGTAAATATTTTAATTAAGTTGTCGTAAATCACGTTTATATCTCGATGTCCCCAGTGATGTCATTGTCTGCCCGGATGTGACGGTCTGCTTTGGTTTTGTCAATCACACGCACGATGTTTGCCATCAAAGTATGTTTGGTATTGTCATTAAGATCCTTGTCATAGTCTAGTATTCAGAAGAGGACGGAGACCGCCTGTTTGTGTTGACATGCTTGTGACAACTTTCGTTCGACCACCCTTGGTTAATGTGGTCTATATGAGAAGGAACACACTAGATCCAAAACTAACCACGCTGTCCAAAATGTCAATATAGATGTTGCAGAAAGAAGTGGCTTCATATGAAATTGTCATACTTGCCCGGGATTCTGAGGTCAATCGCTGCCCATGTAATGCCAGTGTGCATCATCACAGGAAACTCATTATAATACGTGTACAACAAGCTGCCATTTCTCCTTTTCAACTGTCCACGTTGAAAATGTTTCTCTCTTATCACTGTTTTGGCGGCTGCGCTGATATTAAGAGTAAGGCGCTCATGTACATTACATTTCTTATATCAGGTTGGAAGTCGACGCGATAATGCATACAATATGCCTATAAGAGAAATGAAATGAGATAAGTAAACCTTTGAGCCCTGACCACCTCTTTACCCCCAAAAAATGAATGAATACCCAGTTACCGGTTGAACGGTGGGTAAGCACTTGTAAATATTTTTATATCTACCCTGAAATATTACATATCAATTATTTGCGAATTTTGACTCAGGAGCTCAGGCAGAAAGCTTTAAATTGTTCAGGAACGAAGGGCTCAAAGGATGAAACTCGTGTTAAGGGAAGGACCAACTTACACAGGAATTAACATTGACAAGCGTTTTTGCTCTGTTTAGGGAATCTAAACGTTTAGCCCTTTATTGAATGAGTAGGTTTTGACCATTAAGTCTTCTATTTTTTTCTCTTTTGCTGTTTCTTTTTAAATATTCTCTAGTTTAAGGATACTTACGTCTTTTGGCAAGTCGCCCTTGGTTCTGACAATGCTTTTTGTTTTTTTTAATATATATATATATATATATATATATATATATATATATATATATATATATATATATGTGTGTGTGTGTGTGTGTGTGTGAAAACTTAGTAGGTTTATCTGGCTCTTTAGGTTTAATTAGGTTTGCTCTACATAGCGTATTGAGCACTTTACTTACTTATTTTACTTGCTCATATTGGTTTTTTTTTCTTTGGACTCTGAACTTGGATGCTAGACGATTGTCTTCGGCTGACGTACATGTTCTCTGTTCTTTCCTTTTTTGTACTTTTTTTTCCTTGGTTATTGGTCTGTTTATATACATATATATATATATATATATATATATATATGGGGGAGTGGTTAAAATGTTCCCCCGCCCTTCCCACTTTGCATATTATATCCAAATGATCAGCAACCCAAATATCAATGTATGGGAAAGCGATTTATATATTTTATTTATTTATTTATTTATTTCAAGAACAGTTTTATATTATACATTATATATTTTTATTTATTATACAATAATATTAATGTATCTTATGGCAAGGAAGAACCAGCCATATAATAACAAAGTAACAGTTTAAATGTATCCTATGCTACAGTAATCTCTTTACTATAAAATAGAGTCGTAGATATCGAATGATACAGATCTGTCAGTGGCTCGATCTACTCTGGGAGGTCTTTGAAACATTGCATCTTGTTATGGAGTCCTCCCCTTTTTCATATAAGTGGACTCGACCAGAGTGTTACTTGGACTGCTGCCGTTAAATGCCCAGAGCTAAACAGTCAGACAGAGAGTGAGTTGAGATAGTAAGAAGACTGAGATTGTGATTGAGTTGGAGGTAGAGTAATAGTGTGAGGTAACCGCTTGTAGAAGTCAGTTACAAGCACGTAGACTCTAAGGAAGTCCTACTTCGAGAATTGTATGTTATTGCTACTAACCGCGTTCCTGGATTTACTAACTGTATTACCCTTTGTATTATTGTGTAAATACATTTTATTTCTTATATTTAATTCTTGCGTTTGTCATTCATTGGAGACCGAATTTCATCTCGGAATCCACAACACTTCTGATACTATTTGTTATCTACCGAGTTAAATATATAAGTAACTGTTTTGCGAAAGATTTTCCAGTGATTATTGTTATATTTCTGTTAATGAAATACATAGGTTGTCTTCATCCTACTAATTGATGATGTATTTCGCAACAAAGTTGTTCTCAAAAGAAACAAGTAAATGTCAATATACCTGTACGCCTTTACAAATAGAATGTTAATATTCGTTCTTTATTCTTTCACGTTTGATTGTTTTTTTTTCTATTTGCCAATGAGACTGATTTAAAAAAAAAATTAGGATCGTATTAAGTCTGTCATAAATACACACGTACAGTTTCCGCTGAAGGCAATCGGGTCATACGATTAAGGTAAAGTGTGTCGGATTAGCGGAAATTGTAGAAACAGTTACGTCTGTTTTTCTAGAAACCTCTTTTTGGTTGCTCGTATGCTATTAAAAAGTAGTAATTACAATTTTCTTATTCTCTCCCACTGCGTTTTCTGGTTGTCCTTTTTACATTGATTAAGACTTATTTTTATTTGATTTTTTTTTATTTTCATCATTAAAATCGTGATTTATGTTTCTATCTATATAAAATTATCAACGAGACAGTAAAACAATATTTACATTATTCGGACTATTATCCTCATCTTTGTCGTCATGTTTATCACAACGTTTCGGCCGTTGTACGCTCCGGCTTTCTTCAGGTAGTTGGAATGGCGAACTGAACCCTTTATTTCGCTCACTGGAATAAACTGTTCTAGTTCCACGTGACATGTCTAATGGATGCTAGTTATCTCCTGTTAATTCCCCTCTGAAAGTTCTCCACCGCCTTAACCAGGTATTGAACTCACACAATGTGGGGGCTTTATCCACTGTGCCATGTGTCCTTGAGGACACTTGTGTATGAATTTTTGGGTATTATAAACACAATGTCTTCAGCAAACATTTTTAACAGTGCTCATATTGCAATTTTTGCTCTTATCATTGCATGTTCATTTAAAGTCACAATTATTTTAGCGAGACATGCTTGCTAACAATTACATTACGTCGAGGTGCCCTAAATGATTTTCTAAGCGTAGCTTGCACCTGGCACAAGACCTATGCAGCACAAGACCGATGTGACACACGGCCGAAAGTAAGACCTTGTGACATATTTAAGCTACGTTTGGGGTACATCTAAGCCACGTTTAGGGTACAAGACGAAGGTTTGGCGCACCAATTGAGTTCGAACTCACTACTCAGTCGTAAGTAATGTAGCGAGACAAGCTTGCTGTTACAACAAACGATTTTGATAAGTGTAGCTACGATGTGGCAACAAGCCGAAATTATGGGCCACCTATTGCGAATAGAACTCACTAGTCAGTCGCAACTGTTTTAGCGAAAGACGCTTCATAAACAATACACTACGTCAATGTGCTCCGAGAGTATGGAGCAACCAATGAGAACCAAGCTCACTATTCAGTTGTAATTGATCTCGCGAGACATTATACAAGGTCAAGGTGCCTATTTCGCTATATATATATATATATATATATATATATATATATATAGAAAAAACAGAGAGAGAGGGGGAGATAGAGAGAAAAGTCAGAGAGAGTTTATAGGAGTTATTGTGTTGAATATATCGCCTATATGTGTGTAAAAATCTCTACAAGTGACGAAAACACACACACACACATATATATATATATTGTCCTTGTCAGGTGAAAGAATATTCAGGAATTGTTATCGATTGTAATAATACACAATAATAATAATAATATTAATAATAATATTCTCACACTATATATATATATATATATATATATATATATATATATATATATATATATATATATATATATATATATATATATGGGGAGAAGTGTGAGAGATATTGAAAATATATAATTATGTTAAAAAAATAAATAAAAGACAAAAACCCCATACATACATACATACATATATATATATATATATATATATATATATGTGTGTGTGTGTGTGTGTGTGTGTGTGTGTGTGTGTGTGTGTGTGTGAAAAAACAGGTAAGGCAGTATACAAAGCCACTTGTCACTCATCAAAGCAATGGAGAAATTTAATGATGGATAAGCCACGAAGAGACAATGCAGACGGAAGTAGGAGACCGGATATTCGCGTAGGCGGGAAAATAATTACTTTCTTTCTTACTCGCAAATGCGTGAAACGTTTGCATTCTCGACTAGCATCGCAACGAAGCCTAAAGTTCTATGACGTCATAGCTGTAAAGCAATAAGTAAATGCAAGTGTCACCCAAGGGTGTAATACCAATATCTGCCCGTAACTCCTGTGGTATCCATAGTAACAACGGATATAATAAAGGATAATGATATCCAGTTGTGTGGTTATGAATGATATTTCTGGATTTTAGCATTTGCCCCGATATTCTCAAGGTTGGTATACGGAAACATAAACTTAAATCAACACGAAAATATGTAAGAACAGGTAAGTTCGAAAGTATGGTAGGGCATATGGGGAAAATGAAAAGAAAATTCCTTTGCCATGAAATGGAATTTCTTAACAAGAATAAACGGGAAGTAGGAGGAATTGGAAGTGGACGAGAAGAAGAAGAAGAAGAAGAAGAAGAAGAAGAAGAAGAAGGAGGAGGAGGAGGAGGAGGAGGAGGGAAAAGGTAACAAGTTAAAAAGAAGAAATAAATTGGAAAGATAGACAGCTGAGCTTAATAGGAAAAATAAGAATATTTAAAAAATGTAGTTGATGCTCATGAAAAAGAAGCAGAAGGTTCACATTAAGAAGAGGAGCAGGAGGAGGAATTTGTGGGGTAAAAGTAGCAGTAGTAGTTGTAGAAGAAGAAGAAAGGAAGAAAGAAAAACTAAATGAATAAGAATGCAAAGAAAGAAAGAAATAGATGATGATAAGGAAGAAGGTGATGGACAAAAACTGAAGTAAGCAGATTATGAGGAACATAAAAGAAAGAATCTAGCAGAAGAAGTTGTAGTAGAAGAAGAAGAAAAATAAAAATATAAAACAAATTAATGATGATAGTAAAGATGATATAAAAGGAAGAATAAAACAGATAATGAAGAAGAAGACAAGAATGTCAATATATAAAGAACTAAGAGAATTAGAAGTACAATATTTATAGAAAAAGACAATGACCACGAGGAAAATGTTCTTGCACGTTTAGTAATAGCATTATTATTCTTAGTATTGACAAAGTAGAAGAACAAGAAGAGGAAGAAAAAGAAAAAAGAATGCTAATATATAAACCACTGAGAGAATTAGAATGGCGATGTTCATTGAAAAAGGCAATGGCCACGATGAAAATGTTCTTGCACGTTTAGTAGTAGTGATATAATTATTATTATTAGTAATAGTATTGACAAAATGAGAAGAAAATGATAGTTGAATTTGACAGGTCTTATTTTGTTAAAAGAACACAAGAATGTAGTAATTATTGATTAGTGATCATTACTCATCAGCAATGATCCGTGATATTACCTTAATTATTATGTGGATCTCTCCAAATGTAATCTCTCCCAATTAATCTTTCTATCCGAACAAAACTTTCCTCATAATAACGAACAGGCTTTTTACCTTTGTAGTCTGCCAAGAGAGTTGTCTTTCAGTATCTGTCGATAAAACTGTGATATGATTATTATCTACATTATATAAATTGGACTGATCTTCATCGATTTTTGCTAGATAATGTTTACGGATATTCATCGAGAATAACTGAATATAAGTCCCTTCATATCGGTCTAATCGTTTCCGTATGAGGCAAAATATACACTATTTAACCATATTCGGACTATTGTCCTGGTACATTTGTCAATATTTAATATCGAGAGACTTAATGACAGCATCCGTGCGAGCTGGTGAGTTTCGAACGTCGCACTGAATTTTGTGTTGGTAATGAAGTTTTCATCGTTGGGGTAACGTAAATTTTATCTAAGAATCGTTTCACGAATCCTCACTAATATCAGAATGCATGACTGCCAGATCCTGGTGAAACATTAGGAGGATGGCGTTTACAATCTTTTTTTACCTCATCATTATTATTGACAAGATATAGTGTCGGTATTATTAGCTGGAATGGAAACAACATCAATGGGCTAATTGATTTTCAATGTCTTCTGGGATAGGAAAAGCCAAATCTTTCGAAATTTCCCGAAACTGTCAACTCTGATCGCTAAAGCACGATGCTAACTGAGCTGAACGCCTGAATTTCCAGATTTTGGAGAGAATGAGTGACGTGGGATGATAGACGATAACGACAGGTCTTATTTCATTTTGTAGAACATCGATCACGCTGTCAAAATTGAGTTGAATGCTTTCCATCACAGATCGTATAGTCATGTTTTGGTACCTAATGACTTACCTCTGTTCAGGCCGATTAAAATCTGACACCGGGAACAAAGTTTTCCTAATAATGTCGCCGTCTTCCCTTGTGTGCAAATAGAGAGTTGTCTTTCAGTATCTGTCGATATTTCTGTGATGAGGTATTATCTACATTATATACATTATTCGGACTAATCTCCTCATTTTTGCCACCATATTTATCACAACCTTTCGTCCCTTCAGTATCTGTCTATATTTCTGAGATGAGGTATTATGTACACTATTTACATTATTCGGACTATTGTCCTCACATTTGTTGCCATATTTATCACAGCGTTTCGGCCTTCAGTATCTGTCTATATTTCTGAGATGAGGTATTATGTACACTATTTATATTATTCGGACAATTGTCTTCATCTTTGTCGACATATTTATTACAATGTTTCGGACTTTGTACGCCCCGGCCTTCTTTAAGTGGGTGGGATGTCAAACTGAACGCATTATTTTGCTCACTGGGGTAGACTGTTCTAGTTCTTCCACGTGCCATGCCTAATGAATGTCAGTTATCAGTTATCTCCTGTTAATTCCCCTCCCCAAGTACTCCACCGCCTTAACCAGGTATTGAACTCATGCTCTTTGGGTCCTGTCACAGGATCTAGCTAACGCCTTTATCCACTGTGCCATGTGTTCTTGAGCGTTGTCTTTACCGGAGCAGTATTTCTCTAAGTACAGCAGCTAGGCTCTTGTTAATCGCTAGCTAATGTTGGTGACTACTTGGTGCTTAAAGAAACAAAAAGTTGTTCTAAATCAATGAATTAAGAGAAGTTTAATCAGCTCCTTGATGAACCAGAAAGAAATAAAAATAGAAAAAAACTCGAGTTTCATATTTAAATTTTTTTACGTCAATGAGGCATCGTAATGAAAATGAAGAAACGGTAGAGAAGTATTAAAAAAATTTCTGGCAATGATTATGCAGACGAACCAGAAAGAAATAAAGAGATCGGAAGATAAAATAACTTCAAAGTAATCATATTTAAACACAAAGTTTTATGGCGATAAACGCCGTAATAATAGAGGCAATTAAAATATTTCGATTTAATCATAATCATTAATATTCCATAATCGTGACACTAATTTAATATAATCAGAAAAAAGAAAGTATATGTCAAAATTTTAATTACCATTTATTATCTCATTGCTGTTAATTGCGGTGAAAGAAAGAAAACAGAAGAAAATTAAAGGTCTTCACAAAAAGATGCAAAATATTCGCTTTTAAAGAATTTGTAAAGAAAGAAATCAATGGACGCATATGAACATTCAAAAATCAATCAAAAAGAAAAAAATCCGAAGGTTTTAAATTTTGAAATTTAAAACCAAATAAAAAGGTGACCTAAAGAAAGAAAATAAGAAGAAAGTATAGTAAATAAGAAAGAAAGAAAATGGGAAGAAAGTATAGTGAAAGAAAGAAAGAAAAATAAGAAAAAGTACAAGAGGAAAAAATGGGAACCTCTGACGCCAAGACAGAAAGGCCAAATATTAAAGTGAAAAAGTAAGAAATTATTTATATATATAAAAGAAAGAAAGAAAATATAGATAGTAAATAACTTGAAAAGAATGGAAGAAAAAATGTGAAAGAAAAGAAATCCTATAGAAAAAAAATAAGAAAGAAAGAAGAAAGTATTGAAGGAAAAAAATAAGAAGAAAGTTAAAGAAAGAAACTAAGACAAAGAAAGAAAATAAATAAAAAAGTAAAAATGCAAAGAAAGAAAATGAAAAGAATAAAAAAGAAAATAAGAGAAAAAAAAGAAAGAAAAAAAAAAAGTAAAAAGAATAAAGAAAGAAAAAGTAAAAAAGGAAAGTGACAAAAGATGAACGAAAGAAAATAGAAAGAAAGTATAGTGAAAAGAAAGAAGGAAAATGGGAAGAAAGAAGAGTAAAAAGAAATAAAGAAAATACGAAGAAAGTATAGTAAATAAGAAAGAAAGAAAATAAGAAGAAAGTATAGTGAAAAAGAAAGAAAGAAAATGGGAAATTATGCATAACAGAAACTCGTTTCACACCAGAAAAATGCGTAAAGAAGAAAAACTAAGTGAAAGAAACTGGAAAGTGAGAAAGAAGGAAAAAAATAAAAGAGGATCAAATAGTGTATCGGTGACCTAGATACAATGACGAAGACCAACACAGAAAAGAAATTCGTGAGATGATGATGAGACAAAAGTGACGAAATGACTTAGTGAGAAAGAAGATGAAATGACTTAGTGAGAGAAAAGACGCAATGACTTAGTGAGAGAGAAGACGAAATGACTTAGTGAGAGAGGAGATGAAATGACTTAGTGAGAAAGAAGACGCAATGACTTAGTGAGAGAGAAGACGCAATGACTTAGTGAGAGAGGAGATGAAATGACAGTGAGAGAGAAGAGGGAGGAGACAGCATTTTATTCAAGTCTCTATATTTATTAGTGCTAAGGCGTTCTGAGACAGAAAAACCATCAAATGGAATAGAAATAATGAAGACAAGAAGCAAAACACAGAAGTCAGGAAGCAAAATGGTAGCACAACAGTTTTTCCCACTAAATTTCAAGAAATGAAAGACAAAAACGAATCTGCATCTTTTGCGTTGAGGCACGCGCCGTCTAAGATCGGAGAAAACGACGAACAGACAGCTCTATGGTTTGCAATGGTTATTTATGTACGCATAGAATAAGTCGAATTAAGCCTCGTTATTTCTTGATCCTATTGTTTCTTTGACACAATCTCTTTCGTTCTCAAAATACGCAAGTATGCGTTTAATATATATATATATATATATATATATAATTTTTTTAAGAAGATTTATATTATATTTATAGCGAAATTCTACTTTAATATTTGAAAAATTAAATATATAAGTTTGAAATATTCTTCGAAATTAATCTGTTGAATGACACACACAAAGACAGTTCCAAATATATAATGTCAACCACACAGAAAACTGTTTCGCTGTACCGCAGCTCATCAATGCGGCTAGACATCTGATTGCTTCAAGCTGAAGATCGAAACCTGACCGTTTTGGCATCCGTTGTTGTTTCGATCCTTGAGCTATATGTGCAAGGCAGAGGGAAAAGTAATTTCTAGCTTATTATTTTTACGAATGTAAACAGACGCCATAGTTCTCGATTCATTTTACTGAAGATATATATATATATATATATATATATATATATATATATATATATATATATATATTATATCCAAGTACCAACAATTACTATTCTTAAATGAATTTAATACAAAGTAACATAATTATTTTTAAAAGAAAAAAAAAATTATAACATAAATATTCTAAAAAATTTTTATAAAAAAAAAAATCTTACCCTCAGTAAATATCAAGTGATGATGTTGAAATAAAATAAAATAAGGTTTTATTTTATCATCAAATATAAATAAATAAGGTTTTATTTTATCATCAATATAAAATAAAATAAGGTTTTATTTTATATTCAACATCATCACTTGATAAGACACCAATGGTGGTTGAAAAAAAAAATGTTATTTTTGTAGTGATTTTATAACATATTTATGTTATAAATTATTTTATTTATATATATATATATATATATATATATATATATATATATATATATATATATATTCTTATTAATATAAATGTTATAGCATTTGAGGGAATATCGCTGTTTTTTTTTTATTAGACAGTAGAATGATTACAAATCTGTCTAAATAGAGCCCTAACACAGAAAAATCATAACCTGACAAAACTGAAAACCAAATTTAAACAAATATATTCGAATCGTTGAAAGACGAAAGGAAAACACCATATTGATACATGTTTAAATCCAATCTCAGCTTTCGGCTTACACCAGTCATTATCAAAGATGACAATTTCAATACATCAAACAACATACGGATGAATCAACAATGATAGTCAGCCCTTGCTGCATGAAAATTTCCAAGTGGCGACAAACTCTTATATACGAGACGCGGAAGCGAAAATCGCGTCGCAGCTTCCGCGTCTCGTATATATGAGTTTATCGTTACTTGAAATTTTTTATGCAGCAAGGCTGGACTATCAGGACAGATAACATTACAGACTCTCCGTAGATTTTTACGAGAATAGATAGCCAGAACACCGAACCAGATATGGAAGCAATATTAAATGCACGGAGGAATAATAGATTTACAAAGTTGCAAGATAGATTCTGACAATAAAGATCACTGATTCGACACAGCGTACCAACCGTCTATACAGCGAACCTAGCACTTGATTTAGTGTTATCGTCCCAATTCGTCAGTAGAAACCCTGCAAACAATAATGTGCAATAAGTTGGTCTCCTGCGGGTTAGCATCAGCCATGGTGATGGAGGATAAAAATGATGATTAAAGAACAGAGAGAGAAGGAAGCAGATACAGGGATAGATAGATAGATACATTTATCTCTCTGTATGTATATATAATATATATTTATCACAAATATTATCTATATTTATAATCATCTATATAAAGCACTTTTGTTCCATGAATAATGCAAACATTAAACAATATCTATCTATCTATCTATCTATCTATCTATATATATATATATATATATATATATATATATATATATATACGGAGATAGATAGATAGATAGATGAGTAGATAGATACTTTTTAATGTTTGCTTTTATATATATATATATATATATATATATATATATATATATATAAATATAATGAAAAGTCCGACAATTCTAAATATTTGTACCTATTCGACATTCTTAAATATTTGTATCTATAAAACGAATGTATAAACATGAAAATGTCTTTATATATATATATATATATATATATATATATATATATATATATATATATGTATGTATGTCATCTTGGATCAGATGGAAAATGAAAATGATTATCCATCAGGTAGTTGTCGTAATTAAATAATTTGAAAATATTTCTATGGTAATTTTGAAGATAATTATGGTGCAATTTGCGCACAAGCACACACACACACACACACACACACACACACACACACACACACACACACACACGCATGTACATAGCTTCCTACCTAGATAAATACAAGGAGATGTATAATTATTGCCTCATAGCAACATCTTCGTTTTTGGTTTTCAACTTACAACATACACACTTACTGAAAGTTGATAAATTACATTTTCGAAGAAAAACTGCTACAAGAATCGCTTAATCATCAATATTTTCCTTCACGTCACAAATATTTATTTTGCTTCTATAGTAAATGACCAAAACTAAGTAGCTGTAATCATGGAGTATTGATAATGTCAGTGGGTCGTGTACAGAAAATGTGAAATCTTGCTTCCATATACCATATTCAAGTTAAAAGTTCACTAAAATATCACGTTGCCTCTTCTTTGATGTGCAGGCACTTATTACAGTCAGAATTTTAGTGTAAATATATATATAGCTAACACTGGTCAACATAATTTAACTATTTTTCTGGTGACGTAAATTTGAAATTTTTTTTAGGCTATTCTTACCTTCACTTCTGCCTATAACACCAAAGTTTTATTCTCTAAGTTATGGGTAAAATTTTAATATTATTAATTATCTACGGCAAGATACCTGAAAATTGGAATTTAAAATGCATCCTTTCTAATTAAAATAGATATATTTCAAAATATTCATTCCATATAATCATTGTTACATCGACAAGATTATTAGATAGTGGCAAATGAGTTTTTGGTTGCGCTAATATGGGCGTTAGTCCTCCAATATGGCAGTGATTACTTGATAATCCCAAAACAGAGTCTTCAGACAACATAGGTGTGGTTCTACAGAAGGATGCTGAGAATACCATGGAGTGAACATATGAGTAACGAGGATGTTTTGAAAAAATTTTAAACCACTGAATTTCTTCGTGAAGAACGTTCGTAACACGAAATGTTGGTAAACCGAATTTATTTTTCCCATAGGAATCAATGTAAAATTGATTAATCCATTCCTAAAGGATGTTCCAAATTCGAAATATTCGTAACCTGAACTATTTTCTACAAAAGAATCAATGTAAAAGGAGTTCATGTGTTCTTGAAGGCTGCCGAGACAAGAAATGTTCGTAAACCGAGACTATTTTCGCCATAGGTGTGAATGTAAAATCGATTAATCCGTTCCTGAACCACAGTTGATTGTTTATTTAAACTTTTACAACAGTACTTTGTGCATAAAACCCAACAAAATCATAAACTCTAACATAAAAATAGATAAACGTAATATTAACCAGATAAAATATAGACGAAAACGGAATTTTGATGGCTGAAAGGAGTGTAGAACGGAAAAGCGTGATATTGTTTGGAGCCCTTCCATATATAAATCAGGTTTCTGTCTTTTAGGGGGTTCTTACTTCACTCGAGACACCATTCCTCACCTGAAACGTGTTAGTTTAGGAAAATTTAGTCCTGAACCGATTTGCTCGTGATGGTAATCATTATTGAGCTGAGGTTTCACTGTATTGCAATGAGATTAAAGGATGAATATTAGTGATATTTTAAATGCGCATATTTGGATTATTTTCAAATTATATTTGCTGATCACGATTAATAATTCGCCCCTCATAGAGTGTGCAATCCGTGTTTCAGAAAAAAATAACGAATAAAATATTCTAAAGCGTATTTTTTTCTTTCATAACACAATGCTATATCTCATGCTACGTTTTAATCGGCATAGTTACGCTTAAAGGACATTGTAAACACAGTCGACTGTGTCATACTAATATGTTTTATTATTTCTAAGAAACCAAATACAAATGTCTCTTTCATTTACTGAAATAAAAACATACTTTCTATCATTATGAAAAATAGTCAGAAATAGATGTGATGGACGAGCAGTCACGCACTAATTGTGACTAACAATTATGTGTTCTTCGACAACAAAAAAAAAAAAATTCCACACACTTACTTAACCGAGAAACAATGTTTTCCCATCAGAGAATGGCAAACGTGTGGCGAGTGGCGGGTAGTGAAATTAAATAGAAACCACATCCGTTTTTAAAATTTCGAAAGAAGAAAAACTATTGTATAACTTAACGTTTATGGCGGATAATGTAGTATTGGCGTGCCGAGTTCAAACTTCGGCTTAGTCACTAACGTTCACTCTTGGGTACTTCCTTGGTAAAGATTTTAGAAAAACATCTATTCTTATCCCTATTATTTTAATTCTATTTATTTATAATCATTACACTAGAAACACGACAAGAAAGTCACTAAGACACAGGATGTTACTTAGTGTGAAAGACTATAAGAAAAATACATCAAAGTGAGAACAATAAAACGACATGAATAAAAAAGACAGAAGATAATAATTTGCATTGTATTTAAGTTTTTGAAGATATAACTTGACTGGAAAGCCAGAAGCCGGAAGCCGGAAGCCAGAAGCCGGAAGCCAGAAGCCTGAAGAGAATTTCACAAACGAGAAGTAC